TTCTGCTCCCTGTACTTGCTGGTTTTATGAACACAGAGTAGGGCTATTTCAGTGGGTGAGTCACATCAATTTACTAATTAGCTCTTTTCCCTGGAAACCTGTGACTGAATCTGAAATTAGATTCAAAATCAATATGGAAGCAGTTAAGGTCATTATTTGTATGGGCAGTTTACGATGGAACAAGCCACATCAAACTGACCTCCTCAGAGTTTAGTCTGAACTACACAGATCACAGAATTCTAGAACAACAGGAGCTGCAGCACAAGGCGGGAAGTGATTTGGTAAAGCTCCCCCGGCAGCCAGAGGCACATCTGGAATGAAGCTTGGACCGATGCCTATGACTTTCTGCCCTCTTGGTTGCCACCATCCCACCCCACCCCTTCTCATCCCCCTGACCCCACATATACACTCTCACATTATACAAGGGCAGCATTTTCATTAGTTGGCTAATTCTCAAGGTCAAATGGTTGAGATGTGAGGAGCAATGGAAGCCAAGGTCACCAGAAACCACACACCTGAGCTCCTGAACACTCTAAGCTGCTAGTGTCCCAAGAGCATTGAGGAACGAGGTGGAGGGTCTGAAGGGCTGCTCCTTAGAAGAACAGGCTTGCTGACTTCCCCTTTCTAAAACTCATCTCTGCATAACCAAATAGTGGTGCCCATTGATTTCTTGAAAAGAAACATCTGCGGCTTCCGTTTTAATGGCAGGAAAGGCATTCTCCTTGAGTCAGACAAAAGATCCAAGTTATCTGGAAATACTTGTTCTCAAGAATGTCTCTAAGGCCAGAGACCCCAGAATTCAAATGAATGATGTACTCATGGGCCTCCCAATCTGTATAGTATTGAACTTCTTAATCATTTGCCCTGAAGGATATATATTGTCAGTGAGCAGTGAGACCTGTTCTCCTTTTCTACCTTCAATGAAACCAGGGTAGAAGCTAATTTTAATTCATTATTTGTATAACTGACTCAATTTTTTTTGCATTAAAAATTAAACAGTAGATAATCCACAAATAAGTTCCATTTGGTGGTATATGAAAGCTTTTTCTTGCACTAAATTTACCTGCCAGTTTCTTTTCTTTGTGGTAAAGCTAACCTTCGCTCCACTCTCTGGGGGTTAGTTCTGTTCTCAACTGGCAGTAGGGGATTAGTTCCAAGGCACCCCGGGACAGTGCAGCAGCCATGCCAGGAGAAATGACTAATTTGCCAACTCCCTCCAGGCAGCGACCATCATGTTGCTTTACACCTAACACCTTGCGTGCATCAATAACTTTTTTTGATTGCATGAAATAAAATCAGTTGCCTCTGTATTTATGCCAATTCAATGAGAATCTTTGCTTATCAAAGTGAGAGTGGAAGTGAATAAATACAGAGTGGTTTAACTGAAAATATTTTTGCAATTGTGGTAAAAAATAAACGGTACTATTATCAGGACTTAGCATATCAGGCGATGGAGCATTACAAAATTTGAGACAAAAATGGGACCGACTGTGCAACCCTGATATTATTTACAACACTGCTCATTCTTTCTACAGGACCTGAAACCTACCTGTCTTGTCTAACCTGGTTGTAAACAGGGTAACTTTTTTTTTCTGCTGACACACTAAATTCATATTCCATGTGTACGAGTACAGAGTTTCTGAACATACAGATTTGGTTACTTGCATAATGGTTAACAGCATGGACTGGTGAGTTTCAGAGATGAGGAAATGAAGCAGGCAGACTCCCTTATTCAGGAAATTGGACTGGGAAATAAAGCAAGATGGTATTTTACTTGATATTAGTTCATCCCAGTTGCTCTTGATATTAGTTATGAGCAACTGCAGTAGAAACTAAGTTGAACAGTGACTATGATGCTCAGTTACAGTCCAGACAACTGAATATTAATCCTAGAACCACTGATTGTCTGAAGCTTTTGGGAAAATAAAAGGTTTGCCTCTATTTTCCATCATTTTACAAATTGTGGCGACTGCCTGTTTGTAAAATAACACATGTAAAACACATATAATACTATGGTTGTAGGTTTTGATAAAGTGATTCAATCTCAATTAAAGCTTAGGAAATGTCAGGAGAATGGTACTTTGCAAAGCAGCTTTTCTACTGGAGAGGCAGCCTGCACACCTAGCAACCTCCCACAGTCACGGAGGACACAGGGTGGTCGCTCCCCTGCAGGGCAGTGTGATCCCGCCAGGAAGATGACTCTGCTCTGGAGCTGTTCAGCGACGGAGAAACACTTGGGACGTTTGGGGAGAAGCACCCACCACCTGTTCTATCCAGAGCATGGTGGGGGTGGAAGCAGACATAGTATCACTGCTCCATGCTCTTTTAAGAGCATTACTGCTGGGCCTGTCGTGTGCACCCCACCCACTAGCTGTGTGCCCTCAGCAGACTTCCTCTGCCCTCCTCCGCTCCATCTGTAAAGTAAGGATAGCGGTGCCCTGCTCGAAGCATTCCTGTGAGGTTACACTGAGAAGGCACTTTAAGCATTTCTGCACTGCATTTGTTACCTATGAACTCTCAGAGAAAGCAAACATAAAAATATATATAGAAAATAAGCTGTTACTTCCAGTTACTAATTATTTTTGTTTTAGTTTTTTATACTTTACTATAACTTTCAGTAACAGAAACATACATATACACTTTTCTAAAGTAATTTTTGTTAGAGGTATGTGTACAGGAAATGACAATGCCCTGGACTGAGTCAAGGGTACTGGAAAAGGCACTGGGATTGGAGGGATCATTGAGGTCATATATGCCACCTCCCTGATTTGTATAGATGAGGGAACCAAGGTCCATTACAGACACCTTCTCAGCAAGCTGGGAACAGAATCCAGTCTCCACACTAGGCAAGGATGGATGTTCACTTGCATTTATGACTGGCTATGATGTAATGATGCAAATCAAATAAATGAGGAAGGCAGGCAGGGGCTACAGAGAATGTGAAGAATCAAAGTGACTCCAAGGATACCAGTTTGGGAAGTTGGAAGAATCTCCACTCTTCCAAGATGGGGGAAGTTAGTGAGAGAAGTTGTTTTCATGTGAAGAAGGGCAAGAGTTTGAATTTGAATGTTGTCCTGCTGGAGAAACATCTGTGCAGCTCACACCCATGGGCAGTTTCAGAGTTGCGTGTCACGGCTGGGCCAGGAATAGAGGCTTGGGAGAAGAATGCATGGAATTAAAAGGCAAAGCTGTGCTCAGCAAAGGTCTCAAAGTTTAAAGAACAGACCATGGTGGAAAATATCAGAGGATGAAGGACTTCGCTGAGAGAGTCAGTTGAAATTAAAAAGAGGAGAAGGAAATTCCCCTGAAGAGGAGGAATTTGGGGGAAAAGAGGCCATGGCTTGGTTTCAAGGTAGGTGCAACTACTAAGCTTAAAATTCAGGAGGGAAGGTCAGGAAAAAGAAAGTTGGAACAACAAAGCAAAAGCCCTTTGAATTCAACTAGGAGGAAACCACCTGTGAATAAAGAAGCAATTTCTGGAATGGGGAAATGAAACAGCCTGAATTCCCTGCGAGAAATTAGCATGGAAAATAAAGTCAGAATGCATCTGATGATAGCTGGCAGATATGGCAGAGCAAAGGAATGGCTTATTCAAGATACAGGACTCCATGAATATGTGAAGGAGGAAGCACAGAGATGAAGGGGGAGAGGTGAAAGCTTTAGGGAGGCAGAGATAAGCCCGAGTAAGAGCTCTCAGGAGGCAGCAGAGAGATCAGGGCAAAGTTGGATTCACTAGCCTTAAACCCTCAAGGCATCCCTCCCTCTTGGTACCTGGACATTTTGAGTTTGAAGTGTTTTGGGAGCTTTTCAAAGTCTTAGGATATTTACAGGGACTTGAAAATTCCACTTACTCACTTCTCACGTGACATAAGAAGAGTTCATGGAAACTGAGGCCCGAGACCTGCCTCTCCTGGCGCAGGGTGGCTTGAACATCACCTCAGGACTTGGTGCAGCTCTCACCGGATCAGCACCTGTGTCAGGACTTGCTTAGTGCCCATCCTCCCTGAGGGATCCTGATTTGCGAGGAGGGAGAGCCTACGTGTTATCGTGACCCGCCTCTCCGCAACTTGTGCAGTGCCAAACACATAACAGGACTCAGAAATATGTGTTGAATGGGTGAATAAAGGAATGAATTTGCTACTGGCCTCCACCACAGAAAGCGAAAGTTGTATTCGGGGATATAGCTCTGGTTTTGCACTTTCATTTGGAAGTGAATCAGGAAATTTAGCAAGTGGTTACCTCTTTAAATAACATTTGGTAAATGGCCCTGGGTTTTTCTCGAATGCATTTCCACTACCTTAAAAAAAAAAAATCACACACACCCTGGAGCTATCCTCAAAGCCCACAAAAGTGGGCAGATTAGCAACAACTTTAACTAGAGAGTAAGGCGACATGCACCATATTATACTTTCTGTACTGACTTAAGAGCAATTTCCTCATACTCTCCTGTCTGTGTAGTGGTAATCTGGAAAAGGGTGTGTTCAGGATAGTTAAGATTACAAAGCATGTACAGCAGAGCCTGATGCCTTCACTGTTAACTATGAGCATCATTCCATACTTTACTTCCTCTAAAAGTTCAATTTCCAACTTTGTATTTTCATTGTAATGTAATAAGGTTACTAAGTAGGTTTATGTTTTTGTAGCTTTTCAATCTAAAAACCTTACTACTCAACCAAAAACTGATTAAGCTTCAAGATGCAGGTGGCACAGTACCTAGAATGTACTCCATGAATACCTGCTGACAGATGAAACAATACTGTAAAATGAAAAGTGGCCTCACTGCCATTTTTCATTTCATCTTCAGATTAGCCTTTATGAGGTGGAGATTAGCCCCCCAGGCCCACCCCATTTGACAGATGACAAATTTGAGGCTCAGGAAGGCTAAGCTACTGGCCTGGCCTCACCCAGTGCCTACACCTCAAACCCATGCATTCAATTGCCCACACCTAGTCATTTCTCTTATCTGCTGCTGATTCTAGCTGAATTTTCTTTTTAATCAGGAAATGATGAGCAGAAGCCCTCAACAGAATGGTTTCTTATTGTGTTTATGGCAACCATCTGCTTCACCTTGTTAATGTTCTCACTCATCTGTAGAAAGTAGGTAATATTTTTTATATTTGGGGTGCTTCCTGTGGGGTCTGAGAACTGAATTTTTACCTTCTTGCTGTGCATCCATTAGAGTCCTTGTTACCAGATGAAATTTATGGCACTTCTGTGTCTTTTGAACAGGCTTTGCAAGATTAGGGCAGACCATATCAAAAAGTGAGAAACATCAGATTATCTACAGAGCACCGCATAGCTCAGCCATTACATTGCTCATTCTTGAATTTTAGGGGTCTGTTCATTTCTGAGGCGGCTTTCACATTAATGTTCTTTTGATGCCACTCATTACCAAAAAGAAAGTGATTTCTGTGAGCCATCACAGCTGGGGGTCTGCCAACGAGCCCTGTAGGTAACAGCGGGGCACTGCACACATGACAGAGATCACTCATTTTCAGAAATTAGGCCTGGTAACGTGTACTGACATGAAGCAATTGCCATTTTGTCTTTTTTGGACAACTAAGAGGCCAGATACTGCAGAACCTTGCAGTACCCCTAAGGTAATGTAGGCATTTGGAAGCCTTGGTCAATAAAGATTTTCAATTACAAAACAGCAGATTTGGGGATTAACTAGGTCAATTACTGGAGTAGCTATTTAAGGATAAGAAAGGACACTCTTGCTCACGTAACTCCCTCCTTTCCTGCTTTCAGGTGTCACTTATGGACCAAGTTGTTTCCACCAGTCCCAACACCGAAAAGCAATATTAAAGATTTCTTTGTAAACATCAACTATGAGGTAAAATTGAAGGTCCTTATGATATGTCCTGTCTGCCTATGGCTGTGTCCACAGGTATCTGCCATTGGGTTACTGGTTCTCCACCATACATGGCAGGGTCTTTACCCAGGAGGCCACATGCCTTAGTCACTCTGCTCTCTGGCAGGTTGTTCTATTATACATATTCATTATTGTCTTTGAATACTGGAAAGTTCGTATTCAGTTATTTATGTGGTCACCAGTCAGATTTCAACTTTAATTTTCTATCAGTCATCTCTTAATGGACGGTGGGCAATTCTTCCAACATGGACTTCCCTTTTTTTACGGTATGGAACAAAAATGAGCTGTCTGATGTCCCTTTAGCTCTGACATTTCAAGAATCCATGTTTCTGCCCACAGGTACCCTAATCACTAAAGTTTTTCAGGGGATTTTTCGTAGTTCCTTTGTATAAAGAACCAGTGAGAAGGCAACTGATTTCCCCAAATATTAATTTCTTAGGCCCTATTCACTGTTCAGAGCTCTTAGGCTTAACTGAATACTCACTTAATGACTACCCAAGTGTTCTAGCACCATTGGTTAAATACACACACACATACGTCATCCTTTTCCCCAGTGAATTGTCTTGGCATACTTGCTGAAAATCAGTTTTCCCATATATGTGCAGGTCTATTTCTGGTCTATTTAATTTTATTTGCCTGTTTGACTGTCCTCCTGCCAATATAATCCCATTTGAATTACTGCAGCTTTATTGTATACCTACCTGGAGACCAGGCAGTATAAAGCTTCCAAACATGATCCTCCCCCCCAAAGTTGTTTTGCTTATTTTAGGTCCTTTGCTTTTCCATATAAATTTTAGAGCCAGTTTATCAATTTCTACAAAAAACTCCAAACCAAACAAAAAAACAGCTGCTGGGATCTTGATCAGGACTATATTGTATCACAGGTAATTTTGAGAGAAGTGACATCTTAACAATAATGAGTCTTTTGACTTGTAGTAAACATCACACATCACTCTAGTTCTAATTTTTCTCAGCAATGTTTTGTCATTTTCAGTGTAGTTACTGCACATTGCTTGTCAAGTTTGTCCTTAATTTGAATGGTTAAGAGTAGGAATCAGCAAACTTCAATAAAGAGCCAGATACAAACATTTGAAGGCCAAATGGTTTATCGCAGTGATCCGATGCTGCCACCATAGTGTGAAAGCAGCCACAGACAGCATGCCAATGAATGAGCTCAGCTCTGGCCAGTAAAACTTTATTTACCAAAACAGACAGTGAGCCAGATATAGTCAGTCCACAGGCTATAGACTGCAGACTGCTAATACAAATCAAGCAATTTCCTTAACAACTTTAGTTCCCTCTTTAATAAGGTAACACAGGATTGGATAAATCAGCTGGTGACTGGTTGGAGGGACAGCTAAGGTGAAATACTCATCAAAATGGTTCATTTTTAATAAGCTGTGACCTTTGTTTAGGGTTTGCAGTTTGGGTTTGGGAATGGTTGTAAACAATGAGAACCTCTCACCTAGTGACGGAGAACTGAGGCTGGCAAAAAACCCACTCTGCTCTTCTTTCCATCCCTGTGTCCTCCCTTTTGGGGTGCAGCTGATTGCTCATTAACCCAGAGCATTTCTGGAAGGACAGAGGGCTCCTGTGTGGTGCTCTGTTTCAGTGCATCTGAATTTGGGCTTTCAAACCCCTCTTCTCGTCCTGGAGAAACTGTGTTTAAGAGGCAGACAGAAGTCATCTGTCCTGGCCTCTTAATACAACATCTTAATGCTGTTATTTAATTTCCCTACAGAGTCCCCAAAGATTTCCTTTAATATTCTGAGGTTGGTGAAGGGAACTGGCTTAAGAGCTTATTGTATAAGCTTGTGGTTTGTTGTTAATTAAAATCAAGTCATGTGTACAAAATAACCACTTGGGGTTGACAAAGCTGGTTTCAGAACAAACACAGGATTAATGTCAGAGCTCAGCACCACCAGGCTCCTCAGGACAACTTACTCTCTTCTCAAGTGGTACACTTTCATGTAAACACAGGCCAGTGAGAGGGGCAGAAACAGAGACACGGAGACCCAGAGACATAGCAGGTAGAACTGGACAAATGAAATGCCACTGCCTGCTCTCCGCCCTAGAGCAAAATCCTCTACTTGCAAGAATAAGTCAGCAAGTGCAGAGCTGACCACAGGGGGGCCACATGGGGCAGCGCCCCCACCTCCACCTCCACCTCCAAAGGCAGAGCCTGGCCGTCCCACTCCTGGGGCCTCTGCTACAAGGACAGCAAGAGGGCCCATTAGTGTTATCGGCAGGGACAGTCTGGCCAACCACCAGGAAGCCTTCAGCTATGGGAAAGTAAACCCTGTGCTTTTAATTACAACTTGCACCCCTGCGTTTGGCATGCGAGCCCATGCCCTGGGATTAGAAGGCATCTGCCATCTCAGAGCCCTCATTAAGCAAGCTTTTGCTTGTCTAGACCTGAGTTAGGAATTTTTTTGGTAAAACTCAAGAGACAGATCCTGGAGTTGGAGGGTGGGATGAAGGAGGGAATAACTTGGCCTTTAGCAATAAAAAAAGTAGGCTTATTGTAAAGAATCTTATTCTGAGCTTTCAATTTGTTAGACTGGTTTCCAGCTGTTCTCTGTTTCTACACTGGGAACCAGACAGTAACTATAAACTATTTAAGGTAAAGTCCAGAAGGCAGAGACTATGCCTGTTGTGTTTATTACTGCATACCCAATGCACAGCAGTGTCCAGGGTAGGGTAGGTATTAAAAATCTGTTGGATGAATAAATGAGGTGGAGAAATATGATCTTACAGGTGATATTATTTTTGTCATGAATTTTCTAATTAATATCTGCATTATTTATAACAGCCCAAAATGGATATAACACATATCCAAATTTAGGAGAACACTACAATAAACATTGGATAGAATGTGATGGTGCTTTAAAAAATCATTCAGCCAAAGAACACATAAAATATAATTTCAAATATGATATGATGCCTCACAGAAATAAACCAATTTACAAAGCTGTTTATCCATTTGCCGTCATAGAACTGTGAAGATAACTGTATACCTAGAAAAAAGGGCTAAAGAGAAACAGTAGGCACTGTTTGGGATGTAGGTTTATGCGTATTTTTTTGTCTTCTTCCTATTGTATTTTCCTTATTTTCTTCAGTGAACTTTTATTACTTTTATAAGCAAAACAGACTTAAAACCAAATGCAAGGAAATTTGAAGAAATGAGAAGTTCTCTAAAAGACAGGTAAGGAAGGGTGTTTTGTTTTGCAGAAAAGTGGTTCCAATGAAACAGAAACTGAAGTCATAAGTTACATGGAAGAGCCTGGACTGGAGATCCTCGAAGATTCTGTGTTCTGATGGCCCATGTGCCATTCCAAAACTGAACTGATACTCAACATGCCTAAGCAGTAAGAACAGAAACTGCTGTTTGTTCACTAGAAGTTCAGAATTTACTGAATACTCAATTAGCGGTAAGGCAATACACCCAGACAAATCTCTCACAAGTGTAGATGCCTCATCAAAATCTCCTTGCTCACTCAGGATGACAGATTAATCTGACCATTCAGCCATGTCTACCCTTCCCACTCCACACAGGGTAGCACCTTACCTGCCAGGCTTTGGGATGTGCATTATTTCCCTCAAACTTCTGTGCAGGAGACAATTTTTACAGATAATATTAACCGTGTTTCCTCTGGGAATGCCAGCTTGGCTGTTTAAACTGCCAGTGATAAGACCCAGCTAAAATCTCAGGAAGAAAGCATTTTGTACCAGCCTGGTGAGCTTGGATTCAAGACTGTCTTTCCTATGGCAAGTGGGAGCCATGGTGCTTTTTTCCCCCCGAGTTTTAGAATCCTTTTTACCCCCATTTTTTCCAGGTAGTGTGTGTGGAGGGGGGCCAGGGTAAGGGTGGCGGTGAGAGAGATAAAGATTATCTCAAGTTCCATAAGCATGATTTCAGTAGCATAATTTGAGGCAAACTAATTATAAAATGAAAACCTAATATATTACTTCATACCAAATGAGAGGACAGGATTTTGCTTGAAGATTATATTACTGAAGGCAGACTTGATATTCTAGGAATGTATTTAGAAAGGTAAAGGGTGGAATTGTGTTGTGAAAGGGATCACTTGATTAAGAATGAACTTGCTAAAATAAAAAAGATGGTGGCGTGAGAAGTGGGGCAGAAACCTTTTCCCAAAATCACATAAAAAAAGAAAATACAGCAAATACAACTAATCCTGAAAATGTGACCTGAAGACTGCAGAACAGACCGCCTACATCTGGGGAAAAGAGAAGACATCACAGAAAAGGGTAAAGTAGCAAAGTCACAGTCCTGCAGGACACAAGAGCCCTTCCCCAACCCCGGCTAACAGGCAGAAGAGAAACAAAGCAGAGAAGGAGTAGAATCCAAGGACTGCTGAACACCCAGCCCTGCAGATCTGCTCCAGAAACACAAACCCACATTACACAGTGCTCTGGAGATTAGTGGGGTTGGAAAGCAAAGACGGGCAGAATACTCAGAGAGGCTGAGATTTCAGCTGCTTGTGCAGAACAGGTATGAACAACCAGCCCACTGAGACAAAAGAAAAGCAGGCAGTTTGAAAAACTTCCCAACAAGAGGGGTGCTAAAGGGGCAAGGATTACACACACCTTGCTGCTCAGGATAATGACAGGTAGACAAAACCTTTGTGGCATGCTCAGCTCAGCATGTTGGGAACTCTCAGGAGCTGCAGATACTCCATCCCTCTGGCTGACAACGCAGCTTGAGGCCCTCCACTGTGGTACAGAGCCAGACACTCCTTCCTCCCTGCTGGTGCTGGTCCAGCTCACTGCTGCCCCCACCATTGCGCCAGACCAGCTGGAGGGTGGCCCCACCTACAGCAGCTACAGGGGCATAATGCAGAGGCTCCTTCCTGCACACACAGCTCACTGGGCCTGGCAGTGGAGGCAGCATTACAGCCGGGAAGGCAGGAAACCCTCCCAGCCAAGTTTTTTCCTTCTGGCAGGCACCGCTTCCACTCACCTGCAACCCCTGCCATTGCCACAGGTGCACGGCAGCTCCAGAAAGTAGAGCTACTGGGCACTAAAGGGCACCACCTACACAAAGTTATTATTCCACAGAAAACACTAAAAAAATGAAGTGGAAAAGGAATTTGGTCCAAACAAAATTACAAGAAATAAAATGCCAGAACGAGGGCTTAGTGAAACTGAAATCACAAATCTTCTTGATTAACATATCAAAATAAAAGTCATAAACATGCTCACAAAGCTACAGAAAAATATTCAAGAACTCAGGGAGGATTTTAACCAAGAGAGAGAAATTTTGAAAAATACAATATCTAAGGTGAAACATACAAGGGAGAGATTTAAAAGATTAGATTAGGTAGAGGAGAGAGTAAATGAGATAAAAATTAGAGAACAGGAAAACAAAACTGAGACACAGAGAGAAAAAAGGATCTCTAGGAATGACAGAATAGTTAAGAAAGCTCTGCAAGCAATTTAAATGGAATAATATTCACGTTATAGGGGTACCAGAAGAAGGAGAGAGAAAAAGGGATAAAAAGTATCTTTGAGGTACTCATTGTTGAAAACTTCCCCAATCTGGGCAACGAAATAGTCTCTCAGGTCATGGAAGTATACAGAGACCTCCCGACATAAGGAACCCTAGGAAGACAACACCAAGACATATAATAGTTAAAATGGCAAAGATCAAGGACAAGGAGAGAATACTGAAAGCAGCCAGAGAGAGAAAAAAGATCACTTACAAAGGAAATCTCATCAGGCTATCGGCAGACTTCTCAGCAGAAACTGTACAGGCCAGAAGGGATTGGCATGATATATTTAACACAATGAAACAGAAGGGCCTCCAATGAAGAATACTCTATCTGGCAAGATTATCATTTAAATTTGAAGCAGGGATTAAACAATTTCCAAATAAAGCAAAAGCTAAGGGAATTCACCACCCACAAACCATCTCTATAGTCTATCTTAAAGGGACTGTTCTATATGGGAGTGCTCCTAAGGCTAAATAGCTGTCATCAGAGAAAATGAAACCACAGTAAAGGAAGTAGACCAATTAATTACTAAGCAAATACAGAATTAAATCAACTACACACAAAGTCAGTCAAGGGATAGAAAGAGAGTATGGAATATGAAACCTAATATATAAAGAGTAGAGAAGGAAGAAAAAAAGGATTTTTAGATGGTGTTTGAAATAGCATAATAAGTGAGTTCAGTTAGTTAGACAGTAAAGAAGCTGCCCTTGAACTTTGGTAACCACGAATCTAAAGGCTGCAATGGCAGAAGTACATATGTATTGATAATCACCCTAAATCTAAATGGACTGAAAGCACCAATCAAAGACACAGAGATGCAAAATGGATAAAAAAACAAAACCCATATATATGCTGCCTATAAGAGACTCACTTTAAACCCAAAGACATACACAGACTAAAAGTGAAGGGACGGAAAAAGACATTTCATGCAACTAATAGGGAGAAAGGAGCAGGAGTTGCAGTACTTACATCAGACAAAATGGATTTCAAAACAAAGAAAGCAACAAGAGACAAAGAAGGACATTACAGAACGATAAAGGGGTCAGTCCAATAAGAGGATATGACCATTATAAATATCAATGTACCAAGCATAGGAGCTTCTGTAGAGTAAGGACACCACCAGCAGAGCAAAAAGGCATCCTACAATATGGGATAAATACTTGTAAATGATTTATCTGATAAGGGGTTAACATTTAAAATATATAAAGAACTCATATGCCTCAACACTCAAAAAGTAAGTAATATGTTTAAAAATGGGCAGAGGATCTGGAGACACTTCTCCAAAGAAGAAATGTGGACAGCCAACAGACACATGAAAGATGCTCTACATTGCTAATCATCAAGGAAATGCAAATTAAAACCAGAATGAGATGTCACCTCACAACAGTTAGGATGGCCAATATCCAATAGATAAGAAACAAATGCTGGCAAGGATGTGGAGAAAGGGCAACCCTCCTACACTGTTGGTGGGAATGTAATTTAGTTCAACCATTGTGGAAAGCAGTATGGAAGTTCCTCAAAAAACTCAAAATAGAAATACCACTCAAAAAAAGAATAATAAAACAAAAACTCTATTTAAAAAATACCATTCAACCCAGTAATTACACTGATAGGAATTTGCCTGAAGAAAACAAGTTCTCATATTCAAAAAGACATATGTATCCCTATGTTTATCACAATGGTATTTACAATAGCCAAGATATGGAAGCAACCTAAGTGTCCATCAATAGACGAATGGATAAAGAAGATGTAGTATGTATACACAACGGAATATTATTCAGCCATAAAAAGAAAATGAATCCTACCATTTGCAACAACATGGACAGAGCTAGAAGGTATTATGCTCAGTGAAATAAGCCAGGTGGAGAAAGACAAGTACCCAATGATTTCACTCATTTGTGGAGAGTAACAAGAAAGTAAAACTGAAGGAACAAAACAGCAATGGACTCACAGACTCCAAGAAGGGACTAGCAGTTACCAAAGGGAAGGTGCTGGGAGGGAGAGAGACAGGGATCAAAGGGAACTATAATTCACAATCACAATATAGGTAGGTCACAGGGAAGGCAGTACAGCACGGAGAATGACAAGTAATGACTCTATAGCATCTTAGTACGCTGATGGACAGTGACTGCCATGGAGGTGTGAGGACTTGATAATATGGGTGAATGTTGAAACCATAATGTTTATATGAAATCTTCATAAGATTGTATATCAATGATACTTTAATAAAAAAATTATATAAAAAAAGAATAAACTTGCTGGAAATATGTCTGCTTGCAGAGTTTGGAGTAAGTTACTGGGCATCTGGTCAGGTAGTACATGGTTGACTTAGGTTTGCAAGGGATCCTAGGCATCCCAGAAACATCTTAAATCTAACCTAATGCCTCATCTCAACATCCTCCTATGTGAGTCTGCCCTCTAGGTCAGACACCTTTTTCATGGGTGATGTACAAGCAGGACCAAGGACAGGTATGGCCTGACCACAAAGCAGGAAGCAGGGACAATTAGTCCTTGAAGGGGCTCAAACAGTGCTGACTGCACATGGCCCTGGAACAGGAAGCTGAGGATAGTGGTAGCTGAGAAGGTGGCAGTGCTCAGGGCCCCTGCCACGGTGGCACACACTATATGCTTTCCAGCTGCTGTGGTCAGTTTGATCCAAGAATGGGCACAATTACTAACAAAAGCTTTGAGGGCCTGTAAGTACCCAAATCATCACCGCAACGAGCAGGGAGTTGGGCACAGGGCAGCAGGCACAGTGGTGTGACAGCTGTTAGTTATTCCTTGTTTCCGAGTGTTATAGGCTGTGTGTCTCCCCACCCCCTACACCCCCATTCATATACTGAAACTCCCAGTGTGAAGTACTGGGAGGCGGGACCTTTGGGACTATTAGGTCATGAGAGTGGAGCCCTCCTGAATGGGACTAGTGCCCTTACAAGAGACCCCAGAAAGCTTTCTGTCCCCAATGTGATGATACCAGAAGTGGGCACTCTGCAACCGGGAAGAGGGATCACGAGAACCTGACCATGTGTGAACCTTGATCTGGGACTTTCAGCCTCCAGAGCTATGAGAAATAAATTGCTGTTGTCTATAAGCCACAGACTGCAGTACTTTGTTACAAATGCCTGAGCTGACTGACACCAAGTGTCAGGAGCTGCCAGAGATACTTCAAACATGCCATCTCTCACCCCAACAGGCCACACCATCTGTGTTACTGCTCCCATTTTACAGATGTACTCACTGAGGTTCAGAGAGATTTTGAGATAGGAAATGGCATAGTGGAAGGTTAAATACCAGGCCCAGGTGACCCCTGTAATGTGGAGGGGGCTGTGAGAAAGAAGCAGGAACCTGCTTAGGGGTGGGACTGAGAGCTCACAGCCCATGGAGCGGCTGCAATAACAGGCGAAGTGTTTGATAACCTGACTCATCCGGAATCTCTGTGAAGGGGGCTCAAAGACCTGCATTTTTAATGAATATTCTTAGGTAGGCATTTTCAACTTGAGCATGCATTTCAATCACCTGGAGGATCACTACATCAGATTGCTGGGCCCACCCTCAGCCTTTTGGATTGAGAAGGTCTGGGATGGGGTCCTGAGAATCTGTATGTACAGTGAATTCCCAGAGGATGCTGATACTGCTGGTTTCTAAATCCGACTTTGAAAACTGCTGCCCTGGGTAACTGTGATGAAGACCAAAATTTGAAAACCAACTGGTACGGATTAAGTGATGGAGAAGTCCTGCAAAAGAAAACTTTTGTTTCCCCACCTACACCCTTTTTTTTTTTTGCTTATTGAACTCTGTCTCATCTCTTTCAAACTGGAGCCGGGAAACCTAGGATTTCAGAAACTGCTCCGGCCTAGGAGGCTGGAGAAGATGGAAGCCACATCCCATGTGGCCAGTTCTGTTTTGGTGCTCAATTCACAGAGGCTTCCCTCGACCTCAACAGCCAGCTGTCACCTGGGTACTGACACAGGCCACAATCTGGCTCTTGGTATAAGTGTGTCAGGAGCAACACAGAGTAGTCACGTGGTCCCCCCAGAGGATTATGACCTTCCTTTTCCTTGCTGCTTGGCTTGTGGAAACCATATCCCTCACCACCTCCTCTGTGAAGCCTTCAAAAGGAGTTTGGTTACTGTTGCCTCTGGGTTCTCGTTCTCGGCCTCATCCCTGCTCTTGGAGCTGTCACACTATGTTCACAGTTTGGATATCTCTCCTCTAGCCTCTGAGCTCTGGGAGGATGGGGCTCATGTGAAATCCACCTTTTTATCTGCAGAGTCAAGGGCAGTACCTGGCCCGTAGAAAGCACCTTCTTTTAAGCCCTCTCCTCAAACATGGGTAGGAATGAACACTATTTGTCAGAGATCAGGTCAGGGCCTGCAATAATATGGGAAGGAAGAGGATGTCTAATGAGAACACGGTTGGAAACAACCAAGAGGTACATGTGTGCCTGACCATCTGGCTGGTGCAGCCTGGGTCTTGTTTTGCTGATGATGTAGCTAAGTTGTGATGCATAAATTGCCATATAAAAAGAGCTGGGCTTGAGAAGTGGCACATTTTGAGGG